AGACCATGTGTAATTTGAGATGAAGCTCTTGTTCCATCAGCCCCTGCACAGTCTCACTGCCCCATGGGACACAGGGGAGGGTGCTCCAGTCTGGGCGATGGCTCTGTTAGAACCGCCCCTTCCTCTCCTGCCTCCCCTCCCATGTAAATCCTCATGCTATACTATCTTTTGGTCTTTCCTATGAGTACAAAATGGCAGTTCCACAAGCTGGACAATTGGGGCCAGGTGGGGTGAAGCAGAGCTCCTTGGTAGGCTTTGCAAATTGAGGCAAAGAGCCAGTGTTCAAAGAAAGGCTGAGTGTTTGTCTCCAGGGAACTTGAAGTCTTAGAGAGCGAAGAGGCAGAGATTGAGCCTCAGATCCTGCCTTTGGAACTCATTTGCTAAGGCATGAACAGGTTTGGAAAAACCACAGAATGAACAGCAGTCCCTGTTTTCCCCAAGAAGTCCAACTAGACAGTCCCTAGAGACCTTGCAACTCCAGGACTAAGGACTACATTCAGTGGCTAGGCACAGGTTTCAGAAATGTCTTGCGGCGGGGTGCAGTGGCTCAGGCCTGTAATCCCAGCACTTCACCTGAGATCAGGAGTTTGAGACCAGCCTGGCCAACACGGTGAAACCAGTCTCTCCTAATAATACAAAAATTAGGCGGATGTGGTGGTGCATGCCTGTAATCTCAGCCACTTGGAGGGGGGCTGAGGCAGGAAAACCGCTTAAACCCAGGAGGCAGAGGTTCCAGTGAGCCAAGATCACGCCATTGCACTTCAGCCTGGGAGACACAGTGAAACTCCATCTCCAAAAAAAAAAAGAAATGTCTTGCAAGTGCATGCACATCAGGTAGTGCCGGATGATCCTGGCGCTAGCAGGAGCAGGAGGTGGAGCTCAATCTAGCAGAGCCTATGCGGCCCTACAACAATTAGTGAGAAAAGCTGAGGCATGGAGCAGGCACTTCCTGGCTTTTAGGATTGGGTTCTGGGAGAGACTCACCGATGCACCCATGATGATGAATATGTGTGTATCCGACTGATGGAAGGCATCGCCCTGGAACAGCTCTTCCCGCAGGATCCCGCACACCTGGGTCCGGCTAAGTGCCACCTGCTCTGCCATAACGCTGTCTGGTGGAAGAAAGGCTCGTTAACAAGGCAAAACACAAGGGCACTGAGAAGTTAGCCCCTTTCTTGAGAGTTCCTCTGGCGTCTCACCGGGGTGAAGCCTGATTACCAAAACTACTCCTTGTGAACGGCTGGGCGTTGGGGAGTGGGTGATGGGTTAGAAACTGCTGGTTCTGGGCTCCAGCCACACTCTCCCAGGCAACCTTCATTCAGCGTGTACTTTCCAAAATTACCCAAAGCATTGGTGGATTCCAGCTAGAGCATCAATTCT